TCTCTCTCTCTCTCTCTCTCTCTCTCTCTCTCTCTCTCTCTCTCTCTCGCACGCACGCACGCATGCACACCCACCCACCCATACACACACGCGCGCGCACTCTCTCTCTCTCTCCATCTCTCTTTATATTTTTCGTCGCTCGTCGTCCCTGACTTTATAGAAAAATTCATTGCTTATTCCAGTGTGACTTCTTATCTAATATCTGTACACGCTTTACAACTTGGCACACGCATTCGGTTCTCATATATTGTATTTTAGCGATTCTTTTAAGAGGTGCATGATACTCTTGCGCAAATGACTATGCACGAGTAATAACAGCCTGGTACTTAGAATCTGCATTCCTGAAGCATTACATTTTACAATTGACAACGGTATCATAGAAGTCTCAACAAGATGTTAACAATTAACATATCAATCACATACAGTGTTCTAAAAGTCGCATATTCTCTCACAATCAGACGCGTTTCTCTTAGGCTTCATCTGTGAGAAAGGATCAAGCGGGATAAACTCACGCACCTTCTAATTGTAGATACCAATTTTATCGATGATAATTATATTTTTACTAAAAATGATTTTTAATTGATCAAGCGATAAGCGCGTGAACCTTTTCTGTTATTCTTGACAAGTCCCTATTTTTCCTTAATTACTCCTAAATCTAACTTATACGACTTATAGGACAAAGTACATAAACTCTATATGAACATTGTACAACCTGCTGTATTGATAAGCGCCAAGCTCCACTGGTAATGAATAAAATAAAATCACAGCTTCCTTACGTATATGACAAAAGGGCTTTCCCCTAAATAACCAGTGAAATGTACGCATCTATTAACTATGTATTCTCCTTCTCGGTTTTCTTAATCAAAACCATGGCATAAACCAAACCTTGACCGAACATCATAAATATATGATTGTTTTAAGAGAAACAATATGTAAATATATCAATAATATACTTTCAAACATCATAAAACTGTGCGGAACATATTGAATATATAAAATTTAATTCTAGAACATTGACGTAAAATGTTAATAACTTCATTATTAGAGAATTACATAGTCATTGTATAGAAACAAAAACATCATATAATGAAATGGCACGCATTTGAAAATATAAAGATATCATATTAAATACTTCAACGTTTTAAATTAAAATTATAACATTTTATTATGCTTAAATGAAAAACAATGAAGATTACTTATAAATAAAAATAAGAGAAGAAAATTATTCTACTTTTTAGCCACTGTTACTCGATTTTGTTTGAAAAAAAAAGGGAAACGATTGACATTCTTTTCATGAAACAATTTCTATTTAGAAATATTAAAGTCGACAAATCTGTCTTTTTAGTACTTTCCCAAAAGAAATGCGTATATCCCGAAGTAATCCAAGAAACAAATAGCGAGGGCCGTTAATTATTTCACGTGTTTGATCTGTAAGAGATACAAGTATTTGCGATGATTTCGTGTTCTTGTAATACTTTTTTAGTTCTCTTGCTAAAAATCGCACATTACGCAGTTACATGACTAATGTAATATATGAACGCTCGTAAATGTAGACAGCTAGAGCCTACAGTCGATATGTACACAACGTCGTAATATACCTTTCTACATAAATAAAGTGGAAACTATCAGAACCGCCTAACACGCGGTAGTTCTTCGATAGATATTGTAACATTAACTTTGTTGCTTTTGTTTCTAAGAGTAAGTTAAAACGTATATCGGTTTGTTAAGAACTAATTGCATGTTATCGCATATTTGCGAGATATTGACGAGGTAATCTACAGAATTGAAATCTGGCAAAGTTGATTGAAACATATAAAGAAATACAATAAAATTATGATAAAACGAAACAGAATTGTCGCCATAATACAGTAAAATTGAATTTATTGGAAAACTTCTTATAAAACTTTATAGTGTAGGAGGTAGCTTCAAAAGTTTCTGGAACTTCTTCGTTATTCTGAGGAATACAAAACCCACTCAATCGTTTATCCTACGTTTCCTACAAAAGGAAAATTTCGTATTCAAGAATTATGCTATGTTTTCTTTAAAGAAAACTTCCTTCTCGTACAATTATGCACTTCTCCAAAGTTATTGAAAGTATTCTTGGGAGTTATTTTGTGAGAAAAGCTGTGCCATCGCATTCTATATATTAATCAATTACAGATCAATTTCAGCTAATTCCGGAAATTTTTCGAAATTGCCTCGTACATAAATAATGTAACGGAACGCTGGCATAACAAATATGTACAAGCTTGTAAAAAATTACAGACAGAAATCATTCAGTCATAATTTTAGATTTTTCAAATATATTATCTCTGGTAATATATTTCTCGAATATGTTAATATCAAAATAAATAGTTCTTATAGATTTCAATATTGCTGTTCAAAGCCTGATATAATATCACTTAAAATTTAACTGGGATAATATAAAACAAAATAATAATTTTTTCATAAAATTTAATATATGCTACTAAAAAAAGAGGGGAACACTTTACATACCCTAAAAATTGGGCTATTTTCAAACCACTAAAAGTTGATCCCCAGCCCAGGGAGATGTGGGAAATTGATTTCTTGAACAATGTCGATAAAAAATGATGATTTTTCGAATGAAAATTGATTTTTCTATTAGGCTTTTCTTTTTTTATTTTCCATTGGCACCATTAGAAAGAGTAACCTCGAAAACATCAGGACAGGTGAGTTAGAATTTCCTCCCTTTCAAATTCATTGTGTCGCAACGGTTCAAAGAGAACTGCAAAATCCAGGACGGTCCGGCGTTAATGGGTTAAAGCACAGAACGAGGAAGATGAACATATTTAAATAAATCGTTGACAGGGTTTTAAAGTTAAAACTTCAAGCTTTAAAATGCTTTTTTAATTTTGTGTCTACGATGATTTTTCGTCGAGTTTCAGTGGTTTGAAAATAGCCCAATTTTTAGGGTATGAAAAGTGTTCCCTATTTTTTTTTTAGTAGTGTATATCGAAATATTTATCACAATTTTACAAACGTATAATACACTTTTTACTAGAATTCTAGACTGGAAGCTTTCAACAGAAGTAGATCTATATCTCATTTACCCTCAGAACCAGTTGAAGTAATCGAGCTCTACAAAACATTTTTCACTTGAAACAATTAGAAAATCGAAACGCCTGGCACTATTCGTAAACTCAGAAATCGCTATATATTACATTATATTCGTTGATCTCTCACCGAGCATTGGAAAGTAACACACAGGATCCTTTCCAAGGACTAATTTTACATTTTCCGTTTCTTTGTAATTATGTCTTATAAGCAAAAAAGAAAAAGGAGCGAGATGCAAAACATAATTGCAAATCGTGGAACAGAGAACAGCAACCAAAACCAGTTGGTCAAAGACCTAAAGTCTACAGTGACTATTATAGCGAGCCTCACACATTTTGGAGTCGAAGTGTTTTTTTTTCTCTATAGCAGAGAAAATCTCGCTTCGAATAAATTTTATAACACAATACAAGCCCACTTTTCGTGGTATTCACACACGTCCATAATTTTGTGAATGACAAGCGATGTCTCAGCCTTTGTCTATCCAACGCTAAACAAAATCCGCTTTCCTTAATTCCCCTTTTCTCTCCCTCACCCCTCTCCGTTTTCTCCATGCGAGATACAGCGTGTCCGTCTGGATATGTACATGCTATCTGAAAGGAGGAAGGACTACTTTTTGCTATACTTTTAGAGCACAGTGCGACCAAAGAGCTGGTACCTTTTTGAGTACCCCTGGAGCAACGATTAGGACATCAAACGCGTTTCCAACTGCTCTCTAAGATTAGATCTTAGGATGCTGCCCGGAGTACGTGCGGTAATCGCCTACTGGAGAAGGGGAAATGGTTGGTGGGTGGGCCCTTTACTCGGGGGCCGTAAGCAAGTCCTAGGCCAGCTCTCTCTTCGCCTTAGCCTCGTTGTAGAATTCCGATGTCACATCAGCGGTGGACGTCTTCACGGTAACCGGCCGGAAGTGTCGGGTCAGCACGTATACCACGGCCTCGTATGTTGCCATTATGATAGCGGTGTTCGGAATCTGCCGGATCAGCTGGGTCCCGAGGCCGCGGTAGAGACCCCTTGTACCCTCCTCCACCCACACTGTGTTTAAGGTTTGCCAGAACGTGCGATATTTGCTGCCCTCTTCCCGCAACCGAGTTCTCGCGACCTCTAAATGGGAAAAAAGATACGATTGTATCCACCCCTGACCTACGTCTAATTGATGAAATTACTACTGACGATAATGAATACATTTCTGCTTACGTAAACGTGCTTGATTTTTTAATTATAGCTTCAATATTCGAGCAAATAACTTTCATAACATCTGTTGTTCTCAGATTGAAATTTTCATTATTGTAATTGTAAAGTGTAATCGAAGCAAATCTGTACGTAAGAATTCTGTGCTGTTTGCGCCAGAAACGTAATTTTACTAATATTTCAATGAGACGAGATGAAATAATAAAGTACATCGGTAATATACAATCACATCAAATTGATTTCCTATTGCCGTGACAATCGGAAAATAACATGGTACGATGACGCAGTAGTCTCCGAATAGAGATGCTCCGATTGCATGCAATTCGCCAATCTTCCGCGGGATAACGCACGCGATTTGTGCATCGTAATGATTTGCAAAACAATTCCGAAGCAAGTGCAGCATAACAGCAATATGGATCCGATGTTATTTTATTCAAACAACCAGAACGCCACGAACACTTGTAGATAGTGCGTAATTACACGCCAAATGTCTGGCACGCATTGCAGATATAGCTGGTGTTATCTTTAGACCGACGCGGAGAATCTTTGCGAGGCAATGGAAGAGAAAGAAGTCGATTACTCATTAGTGAAATCGGAACATTGTGAAAAAGCTATAGTCTATATCAAATTTTTCGTTTGTGTCAGGCATCGGTGATCATCAAGTAACATCCTATCTCAAATTACTGTGAAATTTAATACTATAAATTTAATTAAATAATTAATTATTTTTTTAATATAAAATAATTTAATTTTAAAAACGTGAATGGGAAGTCTGAAATACGTTTGGCACTCAAAATGTTAGATATAAATCAGCACAGCGCAATTTCACTCGAAAATAGTACGTCAGGTAATCCTAAAAGATCTTATTTTGTTTTTAGACTATACCGCTACAAGTGCAAAGTGAATTTTCTTCGATATCTTTCAACTTACAATCTTAAGTGATTAATGAATAGTGATTCTCTCAATTTGTACGGAACTAAAAATTCTCAATTGTCGATATACATTTCCTCTGTTAAGCTTCTTGAAAATATCAAAATCAATATATGTATAATTAATACAAATCTAAGTACACAAATACACAAAAGGTTGAGTAAATTATTGTAATTAGAAAATTGTAAATTGTGTATTCGTCGATCATTTTAAAGATTCGTTTTCTCGGAGAAATAAATGTTTAATCGGGAGCCTCTATGAACCCGTACCACAAAATAATGTATATGTTGTATGCAAAGTTGGGACGTAAACTCGATACTTGTAACAAAGTTACAGTTACTTTTTTTTGGTAACTCTAACTTAACTTCGTTACTTTCGCTCCATATGTAACTGTAATTTAACTCAGTTGCATTTCTTTGATAACTAGTAACTAATTTAATATAGTTACATTAATAGTTACTTGACATATATTTTAAACCTCCGCAGATCGCATTAGGCCTTGCCTTTGCGCATAAACGCCTTTATCGGCACTATACAATTTAAATGCAGATTTGATATTTTTATTTTCATCGCAAGAAAGTAACTGCAAAGTAACGATTCGTTGCTTTTTGAGTAACTCTAACTGTAAAGCGGTACTTTTCAGAATTGGTAACTTGTAACTGCAACTAGTTATATTTTTAGCGAAAAAAAAACTGTAACTGTACCTTGATACTTTAATAAAGTAACTTTCCCAACCCTGGTTATATGATATTTACCGTGAGGATAGGCAATAGTTGACGCTATCGTTTTCGAAAATGAGCCTGCCGCCATAAATTCGATGAAGTCGCGGAACGTCTTCCTGTCGTCCGTTTGAGAAGCCCGTGACCTATGAGTGGCCAGCCACGCCTTCACAGCTTCGTATATCACAAAGTGTATCACAGTCTCACTTATGCCTATATAGGACGCCACGATACCTTTGTAGAATCCCAGGATACCCTGCAAGAGAGTGAAACACATGAATGTCATATCTTACATCTGATTCATTTCGATGATGTACAAATAATATTTCCTCGATATTATCCCATTTCAATATGTTCAATAATATAAGAACATTAATAAAAATTTTTGCTATCACACTAATTATTCTCTACAGATAATCCTTCCATTTGCGAGACTCCAGACGATGATTATGAGAATTATATATATCATGTAAAAACATGACACAATCACGGTAATACAATGTGTGCCTTAATAGAGGAAAGTCCCCTATTACGAGATAGACTTTTAAACATCCAAATTCAATCACAAATCCCTTTTCGCAACGAGTACACAATCTAACAAATGAATTTTTTACCAAACAAATTTCACTTCAAGAGCAATAAATTCACGGTGGAACCAACAGATGATGCTTATTAATGTAGTAGAAATCCCGCTATCTTTTCTAATATTAGAAGCCTATCTCATAATAGGGCACTCTCTAGTAATTATTAATATCGCAAAATTATACACAGTATTATGTGCACAAGTCTTACGTAGAAATCAAATCTTTGAATAATGAAATAATAGCGATAGCGATCGAGAACGATGTAACATCTCTTATCAATGATACGTTCAAGCCTGGAGGATTTAAGGGTCCAGGAGAGAGAAAGAGAGCACGTGATATCCGCATGTTCGGTAAAGATAGCATTAAATCGAGTGTTCGTATCTGCGATAAGAAGGCCAAAAACATTGAAGGCACTACTCAGGGATTCAGAGGTGTGTATTACAGTTAACAGATCGACATGAAACGTAAAACGGATAAAACAATATTTCGAACGACGGAGAGGGCCGATCGATAATCAGTTAATTATCAAATTATCAACTCGAAATCGTAAAGTGTGCTAATTATTGATTTTGCGCCGCTATGATTTATTAACTCGCACATTTCACTCGCGCACTTGTACATTTTTCAGTGCTAACTTTTAATTTACAGCAATCACATAAAAAGTACGTATATATCTGTGCAAAGTATTTTCCTCCTGTATTCGGAATGTTTTCATTATTGTGACTATTATTGTATTTTAACTATTACGTTTGAATTAATAGCATTATTTTACACTATTCGTTATCAATTTATTACATCAATGATAAAATTTCATACTTGTGCACACATTTCTTTGCAATGTCCGGGCTGTTATCAACATCTTTAATCATCACATCGCGAGTATAACTGTGTAAAATTATTTATGTAAAAATGTTCCCCGTACATTCCCGTCAATTTGTACTTCCAGTTCTACGTACGAATCGACGCAATGATATACGAGCCGACGATGGAATATACAGATCTATTTATTGCACGAGCGTTGCTCAACATAGCGTGGAATTTTCCAAGATATTTTTACTTGGATATACTATTCCTAGGTGTACTATTCATGGTGCCAGTCTTGAAGCTGGCCCGGCTCCGGCGTGTCGAACGCAATTGCAATACGTATATGCGAATATAAACAACAAGCTGTGCAGCCGCTCCGTCTCCGAATAAATATATTCAATTTGACACACAGGACAAAGCGGCACGAGTAAACAATTTGTCCGCGCGCTGAAGGCGAATGTTCCTTGTCAGTAAAAGCCATTATTTCGTTCATTTTCGACGAGAAATAATTTCAACAATCCGTTGTATTATCTTGCCGTGCGTTAAAGAGGGAAAAAAGTCATTCGATCTCTAGAGAAATTAAATATAATCCTTCCTCTAATAGCTTTCTTAGAAAATTATTTTCCCCACAATCAACAATGTGGGTCAGGCGTCCACGAGGCTTAAAATATATGTCGCCGTCAAGTGATAATACTTGAAATATATCTCGCGAATTCCGCGCCGCGTGACTCGGCTATGTTACTTGAACCAAATTTGATTTCATACAACCAAATCTTATTTCATTCAACGAAACGGTCTCTCGGTACATGCTATGAAACTGCTCCCACACGAAATGAAAACTTCGATATCTGCATCTGAGATATCGAGGGATGATTACATCAGATCTATATCCGAAGCTACTTCGCTCCAACGCGAGTGCTATACGTATCGGCGCCGACCGAGAAAATAATCTTGGCCGCAACTAGCATTCGCTAAATACTTATCGATGCCATTGCGATACCGTCGTTGACATATCGCGAGGGCACCCTCCGTCGTCTCGGATATTCCTCGACTCGGTTTTGCGACGTAAGTTATTTTATTTCGTCGAACAACGACGCAATCCCGACGAGAATTACACGACGCGAACCGATCGATATAAACGACAAAGAAGCTACCGGCATAAATTTTTATTTATGAAAGGAGGAAACTCGAGGCAATTATCGATTCCAAAGCAAACCAGACGATAGCTGATAAGATGTCAAGAAACAAGGCGTAAATAAAAAAGTAAAGCTATTCCAGCGGGTTTATCCTCGTGTGTAAAAATTGTGCAATTTTCAATAAAAAGAAGATCGTGCGCAGTAGATTCTTTGCGCAACATTTCACTTTTAGCACCTTTTAAAATCAGATTTCTATCGTATATAAATTTATTCTTGATACAAAGATCGCATTTGCTGCTACGTGGTGGAAATCAAATGATTGCGTAATATAAAATGTACATGCGCGGATATTTTTTCCGTTCGGCCATGGAATTTATCTATTTTGTAGTAGATGACTCTGCATTAAATAAAATCGGAGACACGTTATGCACATTGTACGAAATGCCATTCGAGTAAGAAACGCTGCGGCAAAAAGAATAACCAAACGGCTTATTTAACGGCTATTTAAAATAACGTTGGAAAAAATTGCACGTATATATGTACATTCTATATTTACCGTTACGCAATCTTTTGATTTCCAACAGCGAATACGATCTTCAAGAATAAACTCGACACTACATTTACATTTTTTCACCAACGTCGTTTAACTTTGATCTTAATTTAATTCATCCTTTGTCTCTTCCTAACTGTCCCCTTAGAAAGAGACAAAAGACGATTTTAACTAATGTACAGAGGCGCGAACATTTGGATGTTATTTTTTTGGCATTTCTTGCGTTTAATTGTTTTTCCAGATGTTGCGTTATTTTGATGTTATTTTTGGCATCTTTTGCGTTTTGTTTTTCCGGATTTTGCATTATTTTGATAATGTTTTTGATAGTATAAAGATAACATCAAAATGTCACGCCTCTACTAATGTACGATCACAGTTAAACCGAGGCGAGAGATCGTACACAGTTGGAAGATTGGCAATTGTCGATTAGTCTAAAGGCCTGTGTCCACGATGCTAGAACTTGGTCCAAGTTCTAGTTCCCGAGAAATGTGTAGCTAATCAACTTGCAGCTTTTATGGAATAGCTGCAAGTTGCTATTCATTTTTCAAAGTTAAAACTTGTTATAGCATCGTGGACACAAGCCTTAAGAATTGAGAAGTAAATATTATGCAAGTTACATCTGCAAGATTCATCGCACGGCAGTTCCGCCGAGTATTTCGGAAAATCGCGATAAAAATAAAATAAAATCTGATACCTTACCGATTGTCGATATATCCTCCGCATGCATTCTATCGCTGAGACTTTTTGTGATCGGTGGTCCAGCTGTAGTCTGGTTTTTATGAACCAAATCGGATTTGTCAATGTACACGCGGTGAAACCTGCAAAAGTGAACGACCGTTTATTGAATCCGCATGGCGCTCGGTGTTTCGTGAATGGATAGGTTACGTGCACTATTTTTCCTTCTTTTTAACGCTGCCGTCTATCCGGTTAGAGCGGCAATTTATTTCAAATATTGCTACTCGACAGAGATTTCGTAAAAGATAAATCTACCGTTAATCCATTAAATCCCAAGAGATCTCTACGCTGATCTATTATGAAATCTTTGTAACATAATTTTATTCACAAGTTTTAGACAAAAATTTTTGCGTAAAAAAAACGATACGTGACCCCCGTCCTTTTATTAACAATGTTCAATTAATAAATAACTCCGTCCACCTTTTTTTAGTATAAGTTGATATAAAGGAAAGTCCCCTATTATGAGGTAGGCTCTTAATATAAGATAGGCATCATCTGTTGATTCCACCTGAATTTATTGCCCTTGGAGCAAAATCTGTTTAGTGGAAAATTCATTGCTGGATTGTGTAATCGTGGCAAAAAAGGTGATTGAATTTGGGTGTTGAAAACCTGCTATCTCATATTAGAAATCTATCTCATAATAGAGGACTTTCCTCTAATTCTTATTTAAATGATTTACAACAAAACTGCTACTCAAAAAGATAGACGAAAAATTGTTTATTAGTCGAATATTAATCGGTAAAAAGACAGGATTCACTTATCATTTTTATCTCTGCTTTCGCAACCATTATATCTTTTTTTAGATATCCAAATCTATCGCTGACTAGATTCTCGGAAAGACTAGATTTTCAACTCGTTCCATCCGATTTGCGAGGATTTAAAACAGAAAAGCGTCTAGAAGTCTTCTAGGATTTAATGAATTTATCTATGGCAATGAAAGCATCAATTTCTCGCGCACATATCATGAAATTAATAAAACTCCTCGTGTCCCGAGTAGTAAAAGTAATTCTTCGAGAGTGTATTCGAATCGAAGAGCAACGGAATATAAGTTTTCCTAACTTCTACTTTTTATCAGCATGCTGAAAAATCACCTTTGACATATCAGACGACCTCTAGATATCAATTTTAGTTTTCCGCATAGAGCATATTAAAATCCCCATTAAGATCTAAGAAACTTATGCAGTACCGAGAAAAGAGTAATTTTAATCTCCTTTCACATATGCATAGAATGTAAGGGTTTATATCTTATATTTTAACAAATTAATAAAATTCGTATGGCTCAAATGTGATAAACGCAAATTTGAAGGAATAATAAAGAACTAAGAGCCGTGGCAGGGTGTTAGTGTATAAATATTTTATTCTAAATTTCAAAATTGAGGTGACGTTTTCTCGGAATAAATGTAGAATAAAATATTTAGACACTAACACCCTGTCACGGCTCTCAGTCCTATATTTCTTATATTTTATTTGGGTATTTTATGCGCAAACTTTGTTATTCATATCAACCACCCAGTTTTGCAAAAGATCGACAGGGCATTGTACCACTTATGCCACAGTGTATCAAGGATATGTGAATAATGCACGAGGGTTACGCAACCGAGAGTACTACGCGTCATTTAATGCGCAATTTATAGTAGCGCGGTGACTTGTTTATGTCTTATTTACTTTTTGCGTTACCTGAAATACCATCCGACGCAGAACTCGAGATTCTATACGAGACCGGTTCGACAGGAACAAAAATTCGATATAACGTGGAAAAGATCGATTGTGCTGTCGAGATTACGTAATCTCGCGTAAATATGAAGAGACAGCTTTCGCGCGCGACAGAGAGATTAGTTTTCCGCTTAGAGCATATTAAAATCAAAAGCGAGCGTTAAAGAAAGGATCAAAGGGAATTTTCTTGATCCGGAAAAACCGGTTGCTAATTATCAATGTATTTATAAACAGACGCGTACAAAGTTCTGCTGCAATTTCATGCAGCGTATATCATTAAAGTGTACTGTGTATGAATTTTAATCTCTTACAATATACGAACAACGTATATTAAAATGAGAATATTAAAACGCGCCGTGAACAAATTTATTAAAACAATACGAGAGTCCAGAAACACTCGAGGCTGAATGTGGTATAATTGCGTGATGTAATATTTGAAAGCAAAATTAATTAAGGTAAATTATGATTAGCTTTCCTCCTTTCCTCAATCTTCTGTATGTTCTTTATACAATTCTGTACCGCTGGACCGATCTGAACCAAGTTTTGATATAGTTATTCGGTAGGATTCGGTGAAAAACATAGGCTATCTTTTAAGGTGAATAGTCAACTTTTGCCTCCTGAAATCATTACAGTTTGAAAGTCGAGTCTCAGACCCTGAAATCAATAAATTTTTATGTCTAAACCCATGGAAAGATCAGGATCAAGTTTGATAATGCGATTTTATTTTATTATAAAACGACAACGGGGCCGAAACTGTCACTTCGTAACAATGAAATTTGATTCTTTTGCAAATGCAAAAAAGAATGCGTGCTTATTTCGCAGAATAGTTTGCAAAAAAATAGCTACAATTGATTAAACATTTTCGAAGAGAAAAGTTTTACGTATTGGACGGAAAGAAAATATGTGAAAGAGAGAGAGAAGGAGTTTTGATTGATGGCCAAATGTATCTGTAGATATTTAAGAAAGGAGACTCAACTCTTGATAAATTTAATAATAATTTTTAATCATAAAGTTAAAAATTTAATTCTTGTTGAATAATAGACTACCATATTCACGTCGTCAAACGTCGAATGATGATTTACATTTTATAACATTGACCGAATTTGTAGACTTTCAAGTTTTAATTTGGTCAACGTTTCATTGCTCGTTGGCTAATTGCTAGACTTTCATGCTACTGCTTTTTATATTCGTTTACAAAACTTGCTGCGAACTCCAGAGGATCAGGATTTTTTTATCGTAAACTGCTTCTTGTAAAATTTGAACTAATTATTCTGAGTTTGCTGCTGATCAAGTTAGACCGAAACGTACAACGTTACTTGCGAGGAAAATTGATTTTGACATTAATTAATATCTTGTATTAGCTCGCGAGTTAACTTCTTCTGATCGATTCTTGAATTTTAAAATTGTCGAGATTCGCACGTACCTAAAAAAACAAACTGAGAACGTAAAATTGCGACACGTAAACAAAACGTGACTGAATGGACTTTAAATGGCATTGCGATCATTAAGGAACTTTTCGGAAACTATGCAGAGCTAATCACCCTTTTTTTCTCTCTGTACTGCCGGTGTACCGCATTATCTCCAATTATGACGCAATTCCGGCTGCACCGTTATTGCGGCCGGCGCGGCCTATGATTCTTCGATGATAGAACTACTGTCGCTTATGTTCGTACGACCGCAAGACGCGTGTAAGGCGGGCATTGAATTACGTGGTGAGGACGTCTAAAAATAGACGTACACTGTCGGAGAGGCACTCTCGCTCGTCGGCGAAGCGACGCGACAGAGAGAAGGGAGCGGAGAAAGGGAGGAAAAGGGAAAGACCGGGAGGAGAAAGAAGGAAGGTCGTCGGACACGCACCTGGCGCGACTTCCGCGAGGTCCGAAAAAGCAATTCAAGGCTGGACATAAGAATCAAGTGTATTAGATACTTTAGGCATATTTCAAGCGTCAAGTCTACGCGGGCTTCACTACTTTTCAGTTTACGTCGTTCCTTATACGTTGAAGTTTATCGCTCGCAACTTGCTCACTGCGTAAAAACGAGTAATGCTCTTTCGACATTTTGAAGCACTAATTAAGCTATCATCTCCGGTCATTCTAATTTAAACAATAAGACACGCGTAAGTAAAACTTAATTAGAGATAAAATAGTCGACAATTTTTAAAAGAGAACATAAATTTGTACGAGTAAAAGAAAAACAAGGAATATGTAGAATATAATAGAATATATAGAATATGTAGAAATATATAAAATAAGCGAATTCGAAAATGTCAATGTTCGATGTAAAACTTTGCTCCCGAAAATTATACGTCAATAAAGTTTCAATAGGAATGTCACAATTTCAAGCGATACCGACAGATAAGTACAATATGTACAAGTTTGTGTACGATATTCTCGAAACGAATTATTGTCAGAGAGAAGCCAAATTTCGAGTGGAACGCGTAACCGTTCGCAGGCAGATTTTTATCGTCTGTTTACGCAAACTTCCGGCCGAGTCATGTACGAATAATAAATATCATTGTTCATGTGTGTGGATGTTCGCATGTTGATTACGAATCGCTGAATGGCGAATCCGTGAATGATGATGGAAGCAAGTAAACAGATCGGAATAACGTCTCTGCGCCGATAAATGCACGCCGCGCTACAAAAGGTCAGAATGCAAATGCGTCGTTCTAGCAACAGGTTTTTTAACGAAGCAAATTTGCAAAAGCATCACAGAACAAGTAAAAAAAATATTTTTAAATATATATAATATGTAAAAAGAAGGTATAAGATCCAGATTTTTCTTCCAACCCGCATACTTTCCGTTAAATACATTTGTCAAGTTTTATTAAATTTGTATATTTAGTTATTTATATTTTTAAAATTCATATCTTTAGAGGGAAAAGATAACACGTGGAGCAACAGGTTAACGAAGACTTGCAAAAGCATCACAGAACAAGAATCTAAATATAAAAAGAAGGTATAAGATACAGACTTTTCTCCCTGTATACTTTCCGCTAAACGCATTTGTCAAGTTTTATTAAATTTGTATATTTAGTTATTTATATTTTTTAGAATTTGTATCTCTACACGGAGGGAATTTTCTCTAAAAATTTATCCTGAAAATCCTGTAATCGTGGGGGCAATTTGGCATTTTGGAGAATTTTATGAGTTTTTTTTAATTTTACCATACATTTAACTAGTAAAGTGTGTACTAAATATAATTACTAGTAAAATGTATGGTAAAATTTCAAAAAGCTATCATAAAGTTTATCAAAATGCCATGTTGTTCCACGATTACCCGATTTTCAGGGTAAACTTTAAGAGAAAATTCTCTCCAGTGTAGAAAAGATAATATGCGGAGTGCTAGAGTATTAACAGTGCAACAATGTCTGTATAATTAAAGAAATGACAAAATTCCCATTAGTTTAATGACACGTGTCAAGTGTTCGTAATATTTGGTTCGATCGTACGTTATAAAGATCTAACATTATAGAGCAACAATTACTATTAAACGCGTATAAAAATGAGGTTGAACTGTGGTAATTATATCTTTCAAATTATTAATAATAACAAATATCTTCCACAATAAAATGCTTCATCTAACTTTTCATAAAAAATCGACGCTGCTAAATAGACTATATATTTTTAGTACACTCGTGTGTACACATTGTCTTAGTCCTCCATCGCTGTCCGCGAAACACGTCAGCCAGCTTTTTTATCTCGGTTTATTTTGAGGGCAATTCAGAACCATTGAAGGAAAACGACTGAGAGAGGTGTGAGGTATTAGAGGTATTAAAGGTAAACACAGTGATAGGAGCTATTGCGAACCCCCCGTTAAAATTGATTGAGGAAACATATGCCGGCGCAGCATTATGTAATATATCTTATCTGTACGTGTACATACACGGATTGTTCTTCACACAGCCGGGGTAATCCCGTACTCTCGCGCAGATGCAAGATGTGAACGACACAAATGACACTCGACTCGTCAATGACGATAATTGTGCTAGGGATTAAATTCTATCCCAGAGCACACAATCGTTATCGTTGACGGCCGATCAACGTTCGACGCAATGTGAATAGAAAAGAATTGAAGGCGTCGGAGTTGTCGGTTTCACTGCAGCAGGCCGTATCGCCGTCGCAATTTTAAGGAGTCGAGTCTATTCCCTCTTTTTTTTCTATTCGAGAAGCTAGCATGATTCATACAAGTGATAACGATAATGTCGAGTGAAAAATATCAAGTGCCGTTGCCAAGTTAACCTTGGGCCATTTGGAATTTTTCTGCAAATTATCAGTTTATAAATTCTTTGGTACAAGCGTTGAAAAATGGGGTTTCTTGCGAATAGTCGATTAGGAATCGCTCGATTTAACGAAGTTTTAATTCAATACGAGCTTTGGACGGCCGTAAATTGTCGTATCTATAAAGAATCAAAGTTGCTTTTAATTATTTTTAACACTAACATTTTTTACTCTCAAAACGTTTATACGAAAGAAATTTTGTCTATTTATCCTACTCTCTAAAAGTCAATCAGTGGATTATTACTGAAAATTACAGTGAATGGTTACTGATTTGCAGGTACAAGTACCTACACCACTGAAAATCGCAGTGGTATACTTGTAACTTTAAATCAGTGACTATTCACTCTTTTTTTGTGCTAATTCGCTAATTGACTTTTAGAGGGTATATAACAATTTACTATCGGTGTAATTTTTTTTAAAGAATCCTTGGTACACAAAATAAACTGTGTGTATAATTGTAATTATAATTGATATGCGCTATCGAGAATGGAGACGTATGTACCTTGACGTACTCAAACCTTCATCAAATTGGAGCGTGAACGAGTGGAAGAGTCTGCAGTTGAGAAATTCTTGAGCAGTCTGTACTTACGCAAAAGCGGCGCAAATGACAAACAATCGTGTCGCGAGAAGAAGAGCCACACGCGCCAATCGCGTGGCTCCCCTGCGAACAGATCTACAACAAGCGGATCGCGTTCTTCAGGTCGAAGTTCAGCATTCTGAGCGATAAACTCTTTATCGTCCGCGAAACGGTCTTATTGACTGTAATTTATCGGGTGTCTCTGAACGAGCGCAAACCGCTCGTATTACGTAGGTAAATGGAACGAGGAAGTGCGTATCGGAAAGTGCATTGCCGCGTTATGCAATACCCTCGTTCTGTAGGAAGCGGCTATTTCGGGAGATAATGTCCAAGTAAAATGAGATAATGAGATAGCACGTATATTATAAGACCGTTAAATTCGTTAAGCAATTTTCCACGCGATCGTCTTTTTTTTTGTTTTCTCCTCTTTCACGCCACGTTCGTTGCGTCGCGTAACAACTCAGCGTATGCAAACGACGTACGAAACGCCGATTGTGAGCTTGTGCAACTAATCGTTGAACATTCGGATTCACCCAAACAATAGTTAACGGGATTTTTTAAGATATAAATGCTTTATGATTATATAAAGTTTCAGGCTCGAGTGCTGATCTAGTCTCCTCGACCGATATTTTTCTCGCCCAAAAGTTATTACTTGTCTTGGTGCCCATTTCCCTATACGCGGAGAGAATTTTCTCTTGAAATTGATCCTGAAAATCGTGTAATCGTGAGACAATGCGGCGTTTCGACGAATTTTTTGAATTTTTTTTATATTTTACCATACATTTTACTAGTAAATTGTAAAAAAAATTGTAAAAAGTAGTACACTATACTTTTTTACAGTTTTACAATTTTACAATTTTTTTACAATTTGCTAGTAAAATGTATAGTAAAATTCCAGAACACTCTCATAAAGTTCTTCAAAATGCCACTCTCTAAAGACCTGTCCACGATACTGGAACTTGGTTCAAGTTCTAGTTCCGAGAAATGTGTAGTCAATCAACTTGCAGTTTTTATGGAATAGCTGACAGAATGGTAGTGACACTGTTTTTTTTTTTAATGAGTTTAGGAACTTAAGATAGTTCTTTCCCAACTACACTAGTCAAAATGAATCTTGATTAATAAAGTTCAATAGACAATGAATTCTTTTATACTAAACTCAAGAACAGATTTTTAAACACTATTGCTTCTCTTAGAATATTAAAAACCGATAAAATAAAAAAAGAGTTACAGAAAGTGAAATGGTATTCTGAATTGCGTGGCGTTAGCAGAGCGTTGATCGTGGCAACATCACATTTCACCGTGAATGCGATAAATTGTGAAAAGATATTAAAGCATTAGCGTGCACGAAAAAGTTTTTTTTTTTCAAATTTTACCCACATACGTGTTGATATCTAAATTAATTTTGCTGCAAGTTTAAAGAAAATCTGTAACTTCATCACTTTTGACCTAACTACTTTAAGAAATAAATCGGAAACGCTCAAAATAATTGGAATGGCCATCGTAGTAAAATATCCCTCGGAGAAGATTTTGAAACGTAACCATCAATCTAAACGCATGTTCCTAAATTCATTTAAAAAGTGTCGCGACCACATTCTGTCCATCACTGTACTAACGGGTATATGCACCGAGTGTCCTCGTGGGTTATCGACATCAAGGGAGTTCGAGCTGCGCGTCAGAAGCCCAACGCGTCCGCACTTCGATATATCCATTAAAGATAAACGCATGAATGACGCGCAGAATACTTTTCCCCCCATCGGGCGTTAATCGCGAGTCTATCGCCGCAGCCGATGATTGGATTTGTCGAAGGAAACATGACGAGACGGCTGCGACATGCGATACTCTCGAATGGCTCTGCTTACAGCTCCTCTCAGTCTCTTCTGCTCTCTTTTCTTTTTTATCCTCAAGGTCAGCACGTGATACGCTCTCGCCAGAAAATATAAATCTTGAGGAGAATCGTGACGGGGATAGTAATGTAATAGAAATGAAAGTAATTTAGTGCAGACCGAACGTTAATCGCAAGACATTCTATTCAGATATTTTAAGAAACCAATTCGTCCGAGAAGCTTCAAAGTCGTCTTTTCTTCAACAAGTAGTTTTCTCAAAATCTACGCGACTGAAATATGGAAGGTGTAACTTAGGGCGAAAGGCTGTTTACAACACAGCTCCTCAGTTTTTCAGGATGTATTCTAATTATATTATTATATTTACCGAGTGTTAGTTGGCGGATATTAGGTCACGATCGCATAAAGAAATAGTTTATCGCCAAGATACAAAAATAGCAGTTGATCAATGAAAAATAGCCGCGGGAGATACAGAGCGACGTTACATATAATGTGCAGTGTAGTGTAATGTTCAGCGGAGTAAGAAGCGCAAACATCTGTAGACCTGTGGTCGTAGACGAAAACGCGAGCGGGTACCAAGTAGGCAACACGGAAAGATTAATGTAGCATTGTCTTAATGATGCAATGCAACAAGCCGTGTAGAAGCGACGTACACCGATCAATGAATAAGCATATTGCACTCGTTGCATAACATTATCGCGCGATATGGTAATACCGTAAAATGTTATGCACTCACTAGTCGACGCACGGTGTCACTTATTTTGCGTTTAAAAGAAAAAGTATCAATCATCTCGATTTAAAAGCCCGCTGTTCCAACAAAAAGCTGTATTTTAAGATCGACAAATAATCGGCGCGCAGTTTACCGAGTTGGAAAAAGTATAATAGAAAATTTACAAAGAAATACTATTATTAGGCTATCAAGATCAGACTCGACTGAAACAGGCCGAGGGGTAAACCGCTGACTAAAATCATGTGCATCAGTGCCTGCTAATGCCCAGTGGGTATTACTTTATCTTATTATCTTATAGCGAATTCGATTGTTTGCACTAGTGCGCGCTGAGTGCGCACTAAAGCGTGTTTATAGTCAATATTCTTATATTTGACCATTACAGTAACGTCATCCATACAGTTCAACACAATTCCAACTTTCTACACCGGTCTACAATTTATTACAACTTTTATATCTTTTTATTTTCATATTATTGACTGCGTAATCCTTGGTATGATCTATCTTGCGAATTCTTCCACGCGTTAATTTGTATTTTATTTCTTTAGGAAACGAATTAGCAAAAAAAAGATTATCAAATAGAATAACATGTTTAAATCTCAAGTTTCGTGTAAAAAAAACTGAGTTAGCACAAAACATTTCTTTAATTTAACGTAAACATGCAAAGCGTAAAAAAATCAGGAAAATTATATCGGCAAAAGATGGAACAATTACTAAACTAAATTCTCGCCTGTACGACTCAAATTCAAGTTTATTCCAGAATCGAAATTATTACCCGATTATTCGTTCAAGGACGCAAGGCTAAGCTTTGAGCAAGGATTTTAATATATCGCGGCACAGATATCTATTATAATAATATTGGAATAGCGTGGTCTTACCAGCGCAGGACGCGGAGAAGACGTGAACGATCGGAGTATCGGGAGGTAGAATCGCGTTAAACGCAACTTTGCTCTTGGAGTACGCGCAAAAGTAGATAGCTCTGGAGGGTGCCACGCCAATGAGATTCGGACCAAGGCCCTTGAACAGTCCTCGTGCACCCTCATTCTTGATGATGTACCTTAAGCATTGATAGATGCCCGGCGCGTGCCGGGAAGTGTCCGGAGGTGAGGTCGAGACACCGAAATGCGAGAGAGCTACGAAGTGACTGGAATACCTGGGGGTGAAAGAGACCGAGAGCCACGTTTAAGAAACACGCATCTTTCTCCGGGTGCCGCTCGATTGAATTCGACTCTTATTCTATATTTGTATACTACGTCCAATACATGGCAAAAGCTTACGTCTGACGTTAAACATCTCGTGTTCGCCGAATTTCGATATTACTGAAAATAAGAGACTAAATATCCTGCCGAGTAGTTTTCGACTACCGAGTGGGAATTTCCCAAGCTCGCATGGATCAAGTCTTTCGCGAAAGTCGGACGATTTCTTCGGAATTACGGACAGCTCCTTCTAACGATTTAACACTCGAATCGACAAAATAAAAAAAATTAATGCGCTCTGGCGAGATCTTACTTGTCGGAAAATTTTCAAGTCTCCCGAAGTTTCACGGGGATGAAAAATTTTTCGCAATTTTGGTCGGAGTTGCGCAGTATCTCAAGAATTTTAATGGTTCCTTTCGCGTGTTTACCTTATTATCAGATAAGAGATAATAACAATAAGAGGCCTTGAAATAAAATCGCGCAGAAATTGCCCATCGTGAATAATTACGCGCCTTACCTGGGATACCCAGTGCATAGCCTCCTGCGTTGCTCGGGCGTCGGTGAACCCTTGCACGTCGGATGACCAGACGTGAATTCCTTGCTTACTGGCGGCGGATGAAAGCCGGAAGACGACGACTGCAATCGGGTCTTTACTACCTCCAGCGGACAAGTCACTATTGCTCCTGCTGTGCCAGCCATTCTGTGCGAAATAAAAAAAAAAGAGGGATTAGTGTAAGCTTTATGACGATCTCGTCAGTTATCTCCGATCATGATTGCTAATTTCTCATATCAATGAAGATTACTATCTTTTACTATTTTACTGTAATAACCGTGTACTCTCTAAAAGTCGATCGGTGGATTATCACTGAAAACAGTGAATAGTCACTGATTTGCAGTTATAAATATACTACTAAAAATTGCAACGGTTTACTTATAACTGTAAATCAGTGACTATTCACTGTTTTCAGTGATAATCCACTGATTGACTTTTAGAGCGTTAATTTAATACATTTGCAAATGTATAAATACACCTACACATTTCTAACTAAGGTAAATTCCTAATTTATTCAAGTAAAGTAAATAGAAACGTAGACTCTTCGAGTTTCGATCTTATAAAACAAGCTCGAGTAACTGAGGAGTCGAATAATTTAATAATATAACTACAATATAAGACAACACATTAAATTCACTATTTGTTACATCTAGAAGAAAACTACAATTCAAGTAGATTATAATTAAAACCAAGCGTTTCGATCTATCTTGAGATCATCTTCAATGCTTAAATAATTCGGCACAGATACTTTAATTGTTCATTGCATGTTCGCGAGAGGTATGCGATCTTCTCAAAACTTGGACCGCGATGTAAGATACTGCTTGTGTGGGCATGCATGCTTGTAATCGAGTCTCTCGAATTACAAATGCAGAAATATTCAGCTGACTTATATCGTCGACAAGTAACGTCTGTGAATCTGTATAACATTTGTCTTTTATTAACGTCATCTAACTTCGTTAAAGTTTGTGCAGACTTGATAGAGAAAGAAATCGTCATTTTCCCCAACAACATTTTTAGTATTTAAATAAGGAAAGTCCATTACGCAAGTTACTGCTTACATAATTAAATTGCGATCGTGATAATTATAATCAAGTTCTGATTACAATTATAATTTATAATGTTTACAAACACAGAACAAAGTGTGTGCCGAGAGAACAAAATGTTCGCTACCAGTGCAATCTGATTTTCATCTTATCTTATCTGATTAGAAATAAAAGCGAGATAAAAAATATAAATAATTATTAAGATAACGGTAAAAGCATGAGAAATGTCGCACCTGAGTCGTACGAAGGAGGAGTATCAATATTTATTTGGTGCAAACTCTCACGCAGACCTTCACTCACACAATCTCGCGAATCCTTCCAATTAGAGTCTTATTACAGTCATCTCTTGTCGTAAAATAATTAGCAGTGTTAGGGGACCGGCGTTCATCGTTGCAACGCGTTATCAGTGCCATGTTTATATTTATCGAGGCCCGCACTCGTAACTTTGAGGCTCCTGATATTTCGACGAGTGTTAAGTCCACAAAACGAAGACCGACAATGTCGAATTATTAATTTGTTTCCCGTTTTAAAAGACGATGAGTCGTAAAAAATTAAACGCGAGATTTTACTAAATCTTATATATTCATTTATTTTTCACTTATTTATTTAGAGTTTCAGTTTCGGTATGACGTCACTATTGTGTCTCGCTTTTATATCGGCATCTATACATACTTTTCCTTCAATTAGGACTAACGCTTCTACTTAATTATCAATTTCATTACAGCGGCTGATGAAGGTGTTCGGTGCAGCCCACAACGTTCCGTGAGCCATTTTATACATTAATAAATCGAATTATATTGTTTAAAGTGATATTTCTGCTCGTTTGTCCCATCTTTTATTTTGTTTTACAAATTATTATGAAATTATTATGACTTTATTATGAAAATCTTATTTTCTCTATTCGTTTCTATAATAATACTTCAATTCAGATTGTAATAAATCTATAATAATTTATCTATAATTGATATTGATTTAAATTAGATCAACTTTAACAAAACTTTGATTTAAAAGAAAATTCAACAGCAAACATTTGAAAATTGCAAGGAATGTGTAATTTTCATTAGATAAATACGATGAGATTCATCGAAGCACATTGCATACGAGGCTAAAAGAAAATACGAAGTGTATGTACATCGTAAAATTAAAGTCTTCTAAACAAACTATGTGTGTGAACATATAATTTGATGGAGAAAAATACTTTTGATCCTCGCGTAGGCTTCTGTAACTAGTCCTCTAATTCGCCCTCAAAGCGCAGTATATGTCGAATCTTTTATCAACTCCAAAGGAATGTGGTAGTAAATTAGCGCCCGATTCACACGCTCGTATTAAATCCGCGTATCTTTCCGTGCTAAGAAGCAGGTACGCATTCTCGTTGATCGAAAATTTGCGGCCTAACTCCGAATAACAACTTTCAACGGTGCAGCAACGCGTCTCTTTGCGAAAGAAACTTTTATTATATTTATGCGCGAGGAACGTTTTCATCTCCTTCAAATCAAAGAGAAATGCAAGAAGTTCTGTGACTAAAGAAATTAGTTTTTGCAAAACTCACGTTGCTTTATTTTAATTACTAAGAGAAACATTAATTAACAGCTAACTAAACATATACATTTCAATTTATTATTTTATTATGTCCGATTCATAAATCGAGGCATGATAAATTGAAACGTATATATATTTACCTTACTGTTAATTAATATTGCTCTTTACGTTGACATTTGCGATATAATTCTTTCTACAAAAATACGAAACTCGCTATATATATTATAGTGTTATATGATGAATATATTATACAATAAGGGCTTGTTCCGTTAATTCGATAAATAAGCAAGTTCACTGAGCTACGTCCTTAATTGCAACTACTCAATCAATTTGTGGCAACTATTATCAATATTGAAATAGGAGCTTTCGACTCGCTACGGCTACATAGTTCCTGGCTGTTGTATAAAGAGTCTTGTGGATTTATCTCACAGAATGGAATTTCCAACGCGTAGTATTTCGAGATAAATAAATCGTTTAGCTATTCTCTGCTGCCAAGCGAGAAATACTGGTCCCTGCGATACACAAGTTCACTTACTTGACCTTTCAATTGATCTACTGCGGAATAAAAAAAAAGCAGAAACGCAAGATTCGATATCGTATGATCGATATGTCGGTTTAGAAACGTAGGGCGCCCTAACGGCACTGGTAATCTCAGAGATTAAACTCGTTGATTTCTAAATTAGAAAAACTCAAACACGAGAATTTACAGGAAATCATAGGAGGCTTCGATAAATTATGTCTCGACAATATGAAGTAAACGACGAAGCTCGATTCTTTACGACTTACTTAGAGTTAAATCTTACTGGAAGTTTAATTCAAGTTTGAAGATACTAAGACATTATATAAATGTTGCAAGTCATAAATCAATAATTTATCGAGGAATCTTTATTAACTTAGTAAATTATGAATCTCGATTCTGCGATTTAAAATATCAGGAGTATGCGAAAATTTTAGTTCCTTTTTCATTTTCTTTCATTTACATACGCAAGTGCTACAAATTAATCTTTGATACATTTTTCCGTCATTGCCTATATAACTTTCTACCACCTTTCTGGGCGCAACTTTCGGATTCCGTTGCGGAAACAAAACGACGTCGGTTTGAAGGCGATGAAATCGTCAAGTCATTTTCTTACGAATGCGCAAAAAGGTCGGAAATTATTTGAATTAAAAATAATTACACCAAAACGCTGGAACAAAGATTGAAACTTTTGCACACCCCTGATATTTTAAAAGCTCAATAATTTACCAACGTAAATTACGAATTTCGATTCTTAAAGTATTTACGGCCTTTCAAAACGTACGCCAATCAATATGTAGAATTAATCAATAAACGCAACCTTGCACCGCAATAAGAATAGACTCTTCGATTGTAGAAAATAGTTCGCAAGCTTCGTATTACTTTTTTAAAGGCCCGTGTCGACGATGCTAGAACCTGGTCCAAGTTCTGGTTTCGAGAAATGTGTAGCCAATCAACTTGCAGCTATTCCATAAAAGCTGCAAATTGATTGGCTACACATTTCTCGGAACTAGAACCTGGACCAAGTTCTAGCATCGTGGACGCAGTGCCGAGTCCCATACCCTGGTCTTACGTGATCCTATTACACGTCGTAAAATATGATTCTTTTTCCCCTCTCGGCGCCAAGTTCCATGTATATGACCTTAGCCCATTTCGTTATTTCCCGCGCACGCTTCGAGAAATGATTACTCCGGATTACTTCGCGTCGATATTCCCTGATCGAAGATTCGATCGCGGCTCGCAAACTGCTCGGAGCACTCTGTACAAATACGACAGCTTGCGGAGACACGAGTGCGAGCGAGTGCAACATACGTGGCGGCCGACAGGCGCGTTTAACGTAACTGCGTCGTCGAATTCCTTTCTGAGCGAGCTGACAACGCGCTATTTTGCAAATAGCAGTCTCGTATTCCGGCGCCGGCAAGGCTCAGTTGTGGAGCCGCCCGACCAGTCTGTCATCATTTACGAAATGTATAAACAATAACAGTAACGAGAATGTGTGTACTATTACATTACTATGCTACAAGGGTGTTATTAGAGTGGAGTCACCTATTATGAGACAGGCTTTTAATATGAGACAGAGCGAGTTTCTGCAAATCTACTAGGCATCCACCTGTTGGTTCCACCGTCAATTTATTGCCCTTGGAGTAAAATCTATTTAATGGAGAATTTATTGTTAGATCGCGCGTGTGTTTGTTGCTAAAAAAAAGATTTGTAAAAATCAATGAGTAAAAGGGGGCTAAGAGCCTTGACTAGGTGTTAGTGTCAAAAAGGTAAAAATTTAGATATGATTCTTTTAATAATAGAGGGTTCGATATCTAAGATGTAAACATTATCCCCGTTGTTTACCCTTTTGACACTAACACCTAGTCAAGGGGCTCTTGGCCCCTTTTACTCATTGATTTTTATTCTTCAGAGCTGTATTCTCTTATTAATTAAGATTTGTAAAATTGGATGTTGAAAACCCGATGTCTCATATTAGGATTACTTTCCTCTACATCAAATGGATCCGGGTGCATATAATTAATTAATTAATTACAAATCTTATATTGGGAGCCTGTTAATTACAAATAATCTCTTATTAGAAACCTATCTCACGATAGAGGACTTTCTTCTACATCAAATGGAACCGGGTGCATATAATTAATTCATTCATTACAAATAATCTAGTTTGCTCCATTTTCTATTCGTTATTAAACACACATATATATAAATATATTCCGCTCATTGTTTATTATATTATTATTATTTGTCGTAGCTATTGATTTAACACACAAAAGGACGAAAATTAATTAATCAAGATCTGCACCGAGCGAATTAACGTAATACAATGAGTGAAAATTAATTAAAATTCTTTTCTCCCGTGCAATCAAGGGCCAAATAAGTAAATATTGTCGGCGCAACTCGATCCCGAGTTTAATATTTTTACGTTTGTACAATTGAACTTTTCCCACGCGGAAGTTTCATCACAAATCGGCGGTTATTGTAATTTTTAATTAAGCGATTCGGCATTATTTTATGTTATTGCATCGGTTCACAATGTCGCTCTGCAATAAATGCCGATATCACATAAACGGAGGGAAAGCAGATTTAGCCGATTGGGGTTAAACGATATATTGGCGAAGAACCAGTCTTATCGGCTGCAAACTAGAAAGGCCGACAATCGCTGAACTACAATCAGTTAAGGTTATCAATAATGTGCAGCCTCAGGCATCCTTCACGCATGTGCTCGTTCTTTTATCGCGCACATCGTGATTATTGTAAAAAGCGCGAAGACGATAAATTTACTACGCCGTTGATAAGAATTCGACGTGCGGAGCACGTACGTACCACAATTGCCAGAAACGAGGGGAAAATCTTCACCGTACGTCGATTTTCTCGACGATATTGATTTCTAGGAAAAAGTGCGTGAACGACGTGCGATCGACTCCGCCTCGAGTGCGACTCTTTAATTAAGCCAGAGATAATTGCCGGACATAATTTCGTCGCAGTTGCGACCACGTGCGCATCGTCGGCTCAATCCAAATGTCTCGGCAAAAATAACGATCGTCCGACACTCGCGGCACAAGCCTAAAGCCTGATCTATAATGTGCTTTCTGGCATCTAGAAACGTTCTATTTTATACAAATCAAAACGCTTAAAAAATTGATCGACAGTGTACGATTATGCAATGTATAATATAAAATTTATCAACTTGCACAAATTTTTTAAACGCATTTGTTGACTACAAAACAGCATGTTTCTAGACGCAGAGAGCACATTGTAGATTAGGCTTGAGACTTCACAGAGAGGAAAGTCTCCTATTATGAGATAGACTCTTAATATGAGATAGTGGAGTTTCTGCTAAATTAATAGGCGCCGTCTGTTGGCTCCATCATAAATTTATTGCCCTTGGAGTAAGATTTGTTTAGTGACAAGTTCATCGTTAGATTGTGTAATCTTTGCTAAAAAAAAAAAGATTTGCGATTAAATTTGAATGTTGGAAAGCTGCTATCTCATATTGGAAGCCTATCTCATAATAGGGCGCTTTCCTCTGCGCGTGTTTTTGTCGTGTCCGCCGATAATTATTTGCAACTGCGACGAAAATTCCGAAACATTTACGCAAGAGAGATTTATTTTATTTTATTTCACGGTGATATAAAGCGATGCGAAAAGTAATTGAAGCGTGTATTTCCATAACTGTTTCAAGTGCCGGGATGAGCCGAGTTGATTTTATCGCACTAATGCGTTTATAAACTACATGCCCCCGCGATAAAATTGGTTTATCTCGTTTTCGCGCTTATATTATGTATGGAGATGCCTGCGTGTATCACACTTGTCTCGCTAGGCTGTAGATTGGAGGAATATCTTTCTCCTCCACCGTGCTTTCGTAAATCTTAATCCGGGATACTCAATCGAACGTAAATTCTTTTCGAAAGGAATTCGATTCACGATCCCAAGCAGCAAAACAATTTAATTCTTTACACGTACTTTAATCGTGCGGAAGAATTTTGCAATTTTATAAAATCAATTTCAAATTTTAACACGGACTACAAATTGAAACTTTCACATGCCAATTTTTTTTTTCTAGACTTTTAAACCGAGTGTTTTAAGTATGAAAATGTTTTGCTACGCGGCCCGCAACTTATTCTGGGGTTCGACCGTGAATCTTTTCCTCTAACGAGAATTCGTGAAAGGTGAAAAATTTCATTGACGAATAGTGAAACTCTTCAATGAAACGTTTCA